CTCTGTGATGGCATTGGTCTAGTGACGGTTCATCGCCGTTACATTTAACATCATCAAGCCAAATTGGATCAGGTCCTTGTCCTAAGTGCTTGGACATAACTGCAAACTGGTAGCCAAGCTGTTTACATGCTATAGTTGCACTAGCCAATGACCATTCGTCATCGCATATTGTTCCCCAGACACCATTGTAATAAATCTGTAAAATACCTTCCACTGATGACTGTGAGGATGTCTTATGCAGTAACCTCAATGGTGCTGGTCCTAAAAGGGAAATAATGTTCATGTTATTGTCATCAGGACTCTTCAATTACAGTTATGACGGCGATTTGATTTATAAAATGTTGATGACGATTGTGGTTATAAGTTTGTGCGTTGTCATAAACGTCATATACATCTATACCCTTCTTGTAACACCGTGTCACCTGTGTCCTTTCAAAAGGAACGATAGAAGGACATTTTGCTCACGCGGTCAACGGTCAGCGGTACTCATAGGAGGATAGCAGGATTTTGACTACAGTTTTACTTTGTTTGTAATTTGAAGAGTAAAAACTAACGCAAAACTAAAGCGCCATTTTAAAGAGAAAAATMGAATRATTATTCAACAGCAAAGTTAAATGTCTGATTATAAAGTTGATAAAGTTAGCAAAACATCTTCGCCTTCAAGGAGTCCAGTTGGGTGTTCAGGTAAGGCTTTATCTTTCGGATATACAGAAACTTGTGAACCATCTAATTCATTTTGCTTAATCACTTTTTAATTATTTTAAAATTTAAAGCGCTTTTGAAAGTCAGGTGCATCCGTCTGGTATTCCAAGGCCTCACCGGGGTACTTGACTTTGGCGTTAATTTTAAAATACTTATGTTAAAAGTGCTTAAGCAGAATGGATTAGATGAATCATGATATGCTTTATATCCAAAAGATAAAGCCATCTTTGAACAATCGGACTCCGTCAAGGCGAAGATCTTTTGCTAACTTTCTCCTCATGGGACTTTTGAAAGTGACACCGGAGAGCGTCGGAACGTTCAACATTAAAACGATTCAAAACTTTCTATAGGTTTCACTCATCGAAAGTAGGTTTATTAAATAAATCTTGGTTTATATATAATTGAAATACAGTCTATAACATAACCTGACGTTATAAAAACGTTGCTTTTTAAGTAATTGCGTTTCATTGTTTTATGACTTGATGAAGTTTCACCTCGGTTTGGGTTTCCTGTGCTATTGTTCCTGTKTTAATGTTATTGTCAACATGGCGACCAACATACGTAGGGAAAAAGGAGGTATTTGAATCGAGTTCAGTAATTTTGGCCGCTTTAAAGACTGATATTTTAACGCAAAAATCGACTCACAGACTCAGAGGAGGGAACAGTAGTAC